TTTTTTTATCCTCACCTGAGGATATTTTTCCATGTATCTTCAAATAGAGTGGGAGGGAGCGGGGGGAGAGAGAGAGAGAAACATCAGTATGCTTCACATCGACCGGCTGCCTCTCTCATGACCCTGACCAGGGCTGGGGACCAACCGCAACTTAGGTACGTGCCTTGACCAGAATCGAACCCGCGACTCATTGGTCTGCGGGCCAACCCTCTAACTGCTGAGCCATACCGGCCAGGGCTGTATCAGGGTTATTCTTTGTGACCAATAGCATATGAAACAGCTAATGTTATGTTACTTCCAAGATGGTAGTAAAAGACCGGGGCTTTCATCCTGGACTTTGTCTTTTTCATTTTCTTTGATCACTTGTGCCGGATGGAGCAAGCTGCCATGCTGTGAGCTACACTAGAGAGAAGCCATGTTGGGAGATCCTAAATTCTCTGGCTAACAGCCAGTGGGAAACTGAAGCCTAAGAGAGTACTTGGAAGCAGATTCTCTAGTCTCATTTAAACCTTAAGAAATGGTAGCTCCAGCCTATAGCTGGGCTGCATCTTTTTTAGAGATGTTAAATCAGAATCTTCTAGCTAACCACTACCAGATTCTTGACCCTCAGAAACTAGAGGAGGTAATATTTGTTCTTTTAAGCTGTTCAGTCGAGGTAATTTTTTAGGCAGAAACAGATTATTAATACACATGGGAAATGTTTTTTAAAAGAAGACTCATTTAACCCTCCCACCCCCAATTAAACACAAGAAGGATAAACCATAAAACACTGAAATTGGTTACAGTACCTACAAAGGCTTGAAGGCTCCAGTGGCAGAGGGGGAGGTAAGACATTTTCTAGAGTGTACCTTTTGGTTATAATTTAAACTTCTAGAATATGTTAATGTCTAACGTATTAAATAAAATTAAATCAAGGATGGGGGAAAACCTCCAAAATTTGAATGCAGACAGAGACAAAAAACTATCTGCATTTAGAATAAATAAACCTTCCACGAAGACTGAAGGCTTCGTTTCCCCAGCTGGAGCTGAAACACGGAAGACGTTTATCCAGAGCGAAGCAGACTGGTGCAGACCAGCTCTGAGCCGGGCGGGGCGGACCAGAGCTGCCTAGCTGAGTGAAATACTCAGCTGTAAAGAAGGACATCTTATCCTTTGCGACAGCATGGAGGGCCCTGGAGAGGATTATGCTGAGTGAAATAAGCCAGTCAGAGAAAGACAAGTATCATATGATTTCACTTATTTGTGGAATCTAATGAACAAAATAAACTAACACACAAAATAGGAACAGGCTCATAAAGAACAGACTGACAGCTGTTAGAGGGGAGGGGAGAGGGGCTGGCTGGATGAAAAGGTGAAGGGGTTAAGCAAACAATAAAATAAAATAAAACAAACAAAAACAACCACCTGGTAGACAGACAACAGTATGGTGATTACCAGAGGGAAAGGCTGGTGGTGGGGTGGGGTGGTGTGGTAGGAGAAGATAAGGTGATAGAAGAAGACTTGGGTTGGGGTGGTGAACACACAATCCAGTATACAGATGATGTATTATAGAATTGTACCCCTGAACCTAGGTAATCTTATTCACCAATGTCACCACAATAAACTCATTTTAAAAGCAGAGGCGCCTGGGCCCCGGCAGCCTCACGGCCATGCCGTTTTCGCAGCCGGCCCGTGGCGCTCTGCACCGTTCCCAGCAGCGCTGTGTGCACAGCATGCCTTCCACCGCCAAGCTCTGGGCGCTAACTTCCTTCTTCACTGCACCTGCTGTGTACACAGCATGCCTTCCACCGCCAAGCTCTGGGCGCTAACTTCCTTCTTCACTGCACCTGCTGTGTGCACAGCATGCCTTCCACCGCCAAGCTCTGGGCGCTAACTTCCTTCTTCACCGCACCCACGTTGGGGGTTCCTGTTGGTGTTTGAATTGACGCCAGTGACCTTCGGTTGACATTCCATGGTGCCCAAGTGGCACTCTGAAGCCACTACCCGATCTACTGGAACCAACTCGTCTGACGCCTGAACAGCCGTTCTCGAGTTCTTTTCCTGGCAGCACCTGAGAATCTCAGGATCTGCTCAAAGGTTAAATGTCTCTTTCAAGGTCAGACAGCCTGTGAATGGGAAAGCCTAGGGTGAAGCTCACATTATCTAGCGCCCCTGTCTGTACTTCCTCTGGAAAGGCCCCTTTCAGCCTCATACAAGCCCTCACAATTTGTAGGTGCAAAGGCAAGAGGAAGCTATTGGAATGACAGTTGTTTAGAAGACTTCAGTCTTCGGTAGAGGTACAGTGAGAGGGTGAGTCTAGAATGTGAGACTTCCAAGGGCACAATTAATGGCTGTCTTCCCTGAAGGGGATTCTGAGTGTGTGATTCAGAATTGTGGTAAGTAGGGTATAATTATAACAGGTAGTGATGGCCTCTCCATCTCATGCAGCTGGGGAGCTTCTGATGGCATGAACATCTGTGCCAGGGATCCCACTGGAGCATTAAGAACCTGCATCCCAGCAAGACCCACTACCATGTTTGTTTTGGGTGGCATTACCAGCTAGAAGAATAGGCCATGATTGAAACTTCTTAGGATGTGGGAAGTCGTGATAAATTCAGTAGTATGGTCAACACCAAAATGCACCCAAACAAATGTACCTCTCTATACATACTAATAACCAAGACAGATTTACCCCTTTAAACACACAGTTGTGCCAGACAAACAACATTTTGAAAACGAGTACTGTAGACAAATAGACCATTCCAAGCCCACTGAAATCTCTGGACACAATTTATTATAGACATGTAGTATGTAACACTTCGGCATTTTCACTTGTCACACACTGACAAGCTCAACACATTGGCAATTTGATTTACAAGGATAGCTCCAAACACACGAAACTCTTTGGGCATCTTGATTTTCTGTTTTGCATTTATCTTCAGATAGAGGAGGACGGAGAAAGGGAGGAAGAAAGAGAAAGAAACATCGATGTGAGAGGGACATATCGAGTGGTTGCCACCCACACGACCCCAACTGGGGCCAGGGACAAATTGCAACCAAGGTACGTGCCCTTAGCGGGAACCGAACCCAGGACTCTAGTCCACGGGCCTACACTCTAACCACTGAGCCAAACCGGCCAGGGCGGCATCTTGATTTTCTTATTCGGATAACTAGCATATACTAGGAATCACATGCCCACTTCATCTTAGACAGGGAGAAGGGAGCCAGACTGGAATTTCTTTGAGGCCGTATCAGACCAATTTATAAATTCTTTATTTTTTTAAAAGGATATAGCAGGCATTTATCTATTTCAAGAAATGAAAGAATTGACCCACTTCAGAAAAGTTAAGTTTCCCCATCTTAAAACAGGTAGGTATATTATAACATTGGAGATTCATTCTAGTTGATACTCACAAGTTCCATGAATGGCTAGAGTGTTCCCTCCTAGACTCTGGAGAGTCAAATAATGAGGGGAAGGGGACAAGGGGATGGATCTCTGGATTATGCTCCCCCAAACTAACTCTAGATCAGCTCTTCCTCGGTTTTTGAGGTGATCTAGACCCGCTTTGGGTGATGTGGAGGCTGTATTCCCGGGGAGAGGAGCCATGTCCTTGGCCCTCTGGGTTGCTCTGGTCCTTCTTTTGATCTCTCTGAGTGGTTCCATGGGATGTTAGGGTTGACCTGTCCTTCCCCTTCCGACCAGAATGAGAGAGGGTGTTTTGGTGGGAGTTTTCTCCTGTTCCCTTTCTTTTCCTAGAGGCTTCAGCCTGGCCTTGGGAGACTCTCTGGCCTCCATTCTCTTCACTCATATTGTCTTTACTCTGCCAGGTTGAAACAGGGGCCAGCTCCTGGACCTTCCAAGGCCTCTGTAACAGGTCTTCTGGTTGTCTCCCTTCCTACAACCACACCCACACTGACCTTGATGTTACTGCCCTGTGGTCAGGCTCTGCTGGTGCTAAGGTTAGAAAAGACACTGTGTTCCTAAGCACAGAGTATTTGCATGAAGCATGTTGTTGGATTCCTTCCCTACCAGCATAAGCAAGAGTGGTGGCCCCAGGTACCTCAGCAACTACGGGAAGGCTTCTAACATTGACCGGGTCTTGGTCACCTTCTCCATGGCATGTGGCGAGAGGAGAAACGTGGAGGTAGAGAAGTAAGACTGTAAAGGGCTGTCACCTGTCTTAAGAGCTCATCATTAGAAGACTCTTTGAAGTCAGCAAGTGCAGTCTCCCAGTGGATGTACAAATCTCCCTACCATACCCCACAAGGGTCACTGTGGCTTTGCTGGGACGGTCCAGTGCCGAGGAGAGCACCAGTGCTATTCACCAGTGAGCATCCTCACACTTTTACTTTTTACACTTGTCTTAGGATTTCCACAAAACAGATGCCTGAGGGGAGACTGCTGCTCAAAAAGCTATGTCCATCTTACGTTCTGAGAGCTACTAACAAATTGTGCACCTTTGTGCAAAGCGTGCTACAGTGCCACAGGTTTATGCAAAAATCAGTTCATGGCTCAGATAAACGAAGGGTTTTTTTTCAGTTGAAAATGTCCTCCAGCAGATCAGACTGCCTGAGTCCACAGCAATATGTGAGTCTTCCAGAACAAACAGGACCGTCAGGTTGCTGTTGACAGCATTACAACATCGGTGTGGGTCAGAGGATGTTCAGAAGCACTCGGGACCTCCCCAGTGTGGCAAGGCCTCCACATAGTGGCTCATCGGGCCCGAGCCCTTCTACATGACTGTTCCCTCAGCAGCCCAGGAGAGCAGCCTGAGAGTGCAGAGTCGTACTGCTGCTGGGCTCCTCTGTCCTCTGCCTCCAACACAGGTGTGTCTATCATGTCATAAGCTGGTACGGCCTGGGTACCACTGTCAGCCTCCCTGGGGATCCCAGGGAAAACCAGGTCTTCCCAGCATGCAAACATCTTTCGCGTCTGAGGGCGGGCATAATTGTGGGTAAAAAGAGTGGCCAGTAGCAAGCTTCAAGTGGAGCTGTTTTTTCTCATGACAGTAGACGGACAACTTTACACACTTCAAAGGAAACAGCCTGGTCAGCTCCAGGCTCTTCGCTGACTTGAGTACCCTTACCTGGGTGTGGTCCTGTTTGGCACCGACTACACCGCTGGCAGCAAATAGTGTCAGCAGCATGACGTCAGGTATTGTGAGGTCAGGGCTGGTGTATGCAATGCCCACAGTGATCATTTGCACACAGTTGAGCACATCGATCTCTTCTCTTTTGCTGATCTGGGTGAAGTTGCTCTCAGACATGGGAATGTGTTTGAACATGGCGAGTGTCCCCTTGCACAGCTGCCACTGAAGCTTCCCCTGGAGCCGTGGAACACGTGCAGCACGTAGCTGCTTTGGGCACTGCCCTGTCATAGCGTCGGCTGCTACTCCTATCTGCCTGTCGCTAAGACCAGTGCCTGTCCTCTCCCGCACCTCCTCAGTCTGAACCACAGCTTCTCAAAGCTGCCTTTCAGCTTTTGCTGTCACACTGTGACCTGCAGTCAGCTGCCACACAGCAGTGTGTCCTCATCCCCACAGCTGCCCCCGCAGGAAGGGACAGCATCCTCCTGCAAGCTGCCCCCTCACAAGGGGGCAGAGGGTACCAAATTCTTACATGTTTTGCTATGTGAAACACAAGTATGCTTCTTCAAGGCCATTGGTTTTCATGTAGATGCCACAGGCAATAAATGTAAATGATTAGCAGTCCTAGGAAAGCTGTCTTTATTAATCTATAAATGTGATCCCAATAGGTGACAAATACGTATGGCTTTATAAGAATTGAATGTATTTTTGAGCTTTTGCTTAACATTTTCTTTTATAGTTAATTATCATAGCATTTCTGTGAAACATTAACTTCAGTCACCAAGTTTGAATTTAAGAATGCACATAGAGGTTTAAACAGGGAAAGCTGTCCTAAGAATCTCTTCATTCTTCTCAAGTGTGCATTTACTTGTAGATGTCTAGAAACTGCTTCTCAACATTTCTGTCATTGGGTTTCTTCGTTTATTTCTGGAAATTTGCTATAATAACTGAACAAATAACTGCATTAAGAGTTTATTAAACGGGAATTAATATATTATGTGAGGTAAATCTTTTATTTTCCAGTAAAAGGTTTTTCTCTCAGTGAGGGCAAAAGAGAAAAAGGAAGAATGAATAACCACCCTGAAGGAAGTAAAGAACTAATCCAAGTGACTTTTGAATGCAATACTTTAACTTTATAGCCTAAGTCTAGAAGGGGAAAAACGGGCAATTTTACACAAACTTGAAATTCTTTCTGTCAAGCTGCTTTGCAGTGATATGGTGCAGTAATTCAAAACTATTTGATGTATATTGTGAAACTGAGTAAATGTTTTGGGAGCCAAGGCTCTTTCTGTGGAATAAGAAATACACAGATGTGGAATGGAGGAAAACCGTGTGGATTTGGGCTGAAGTTGTGGGTATCAGAATCTTGGGGAGAAATTTCCCAGGTCTGCTGCAGAAGAGCCTGGAAGCATGTGTCGCCCCAGTAGCAATGGAGCACACCCTGTTTCCAGATCTTGGTTTCTGTATGTTGTTCCTGTGCAGGCAAAAGGGTTCTTTGAAAGAAAGAAAAAAAATGACGGATTTCGTAGCTAGGACAGGGAAGGTAGAAAGTAAGGAAGAGATCAGTAAAATAATGGAGATATTTTCAAAAGAACACAGGACCCAGCTTGGAGGGGATCCCACTGACCAAATCTGGGACAGTTTTATCAGCAAAATCAATAATGACAGTAATGTTGAGTAAACCCATTAGATAAAATAGGAATAGATGTGTTCCTACAGTGGTGATGAATGGGAGGGAGGGAGGACTTCTTTCTTCTGTAGAATGCCCACTGATGAATGTGGAAGGACTGTTGGAGCTGGGAAATCACCGTCATATTAAAAGACTGCTTAAGACAAGAATTAGTGAATGCTCCATCTCAAGGACCGCATTTGATGAGGAGCAATATATTTGCATGGTTCTCAGCATGTTTCTCCATAGATTGATCATTACTTGGGAAAAGCAGTAACTATATTGTGGTGAGATCTGCAATACGTTTATTGGGAAGGCAAAATTAACATCACCAGTGAGACTCAAATGAATCCTCTGCTGGCAGAGGTACTTCCTGAGAAGGACACAGCATCTCCTATATTGTATTCTAGCCAGGAATGTGTGACTAAATCTCAAGAGGAAACATGAGACAAGTGTTTAAGCACATTCAGCACAATAATTGGCCTGTATTTTTTGGAAAATATTAATATCTTGAAAAAAATGGCTTAGGAATTATTCCAAATTAAAGGAAATTAAAGAGATAAGACAACTAAATGCAAATAAGTGATCTTAGACTGGAGAGGGGAAATGCTATAAAAATAGTATTAGAACATAACAAAATTGAAATATTTACTCTGTATTAGATAAAAGTACCAATGTTAAAGTTCCTGAATTTAATTACTGTACATTTCTTATGCTTACATAACAAAATATCCTTGTTTTTAGGGAATAGACACTGAAGTAATAACAGGCAAAGAGAAGCAATGTATTGTAACTTTCTGAAATGATTCAGAATAGTTATTACTTATAAATACTTATAGACAAAGGATTTAAGGCACATGAACAAAATAAAAATTGGTGAGTTTGGGCAAGATGTGTGCAGGAGACTCCTGTACTGATTTTGTAAATTTTCTGTTTGAAATCATTTCAAATAAAAATATTTTTAGAGTTGCTACTGTAGGCAAAAAATAAAATGACAGTTTGGTCAAATTATTGTTTCTGCTTTTTAACCTCAGATAGTCTCTTTTTTAAAATTCGTTTTTAGGAAAACTCAATCTTTTTTTTTTTTTTTTTTAACATTTTACTTCTGACTGCATTGGTGTTCTTTTCTGTTTATTATTGCCTCAAATTAAACGCTTGTTTCTTTTCTATAAATGAAGGTCAGTGTTTCCTTGCCTTTCTTTAGATCAGAACACCATCTTATGGGCATTGTTATAATTGTTAACTTCCCTTGTTTTCTTTGTTTTTCTCTTGGGCATTACATTTGTTGATTGTTTGGAAACAAATGATATCTTTACCCTTTTTGTTATTTTTCTTTCCTCAAGAACACAAAAAAGCATAATTTTTTGTTTGGGTAAGCATATATTTACTTCATTTTTTGAGGATACGTAACTTTCATGGGCATTAGATTTGTACTAACTAGTTCCTGGGAAGCTTTTAAACCAGATTAGCTCTGTGCATCTGACTGTGATAGGGAGGGGAGCAGTATTTTGTCAAGGAAAAGATGAAGCTTACATAGAGTGTCAGTCATTTAGAGGATCTTAACATTGTACATTTGATCATCACCCTCAGACAGTTTTAAAATTGCTGGACTGTTTAGATGTGGACATTGAAAGCCGTCTGAATTGACAGCCTGACTGGGCACGGAGAAGAAGACAGCAAATCATTTGCTCAAGTCTTTTGGAATGAAAATGGAATGTCTAATTATCTAAAATGACCAAATATTTTCTTATGTGTGAAAATTTTTTTTTTTTTTTTTTAGTTTTTAGGAGATTAATTAGACAGGAAGCCAGTGCTAAGTAAGGAATGCGTTATAAATAGGCTGCCCACTGATTTGTTGATTATCAGAACTTTATTTTCTCCAGTTTGTACCATATTTTTATTTCTTTCTGAAAAGGAGTAACATTATCAGTTTTTATTTATGTTCTTTCCCTCCGGTTTTTTTCTTTGTGGGGAAAAATTCATTGTTCTTTATAATTCTAGTTGTATGTATTGGACCTCAGTGTTTGGAAATAGGCCCCAGGTGAGTGAAAAAGAATCTTTTTTTCTCTGTTGATGTTCTAAGCTTTTCATATGTTGTTTTTCTATTATTCTATTACCCTCCATTGCACTGAAAGTGAATGATAGATTGCTTATGACAGGACATAAAAATGACTCCTGTTTTTAAGAAGTTATTAGAATGCCAGTGGCAATAACACACAGACATGGGAGAATATCCTTTTCTCCAGAACAGCAACAAATTTTGTGAACTTGTTTGCAAAATAAGTCTTCTTTCATTTTTAAAACCTAATAAGGGAAAATAAAATAACTACTTGCCCATACTCTTTTTAAAACAAAAATATGCCAAGTAGAAATATTGGTGATGATTTTTAAAAGAGAAGGCTAGCTAAGAATACAGAAGGGAAAGAAACTCAATTTAAAATGGAAGCATTATTTAAATGCTTTATGCTTAGTACTACCACACCAAAAGTTTGTGGTTTTGCTCATTCCTTACTCTTAAGGAGAGATAGATAGATAGATAGATAGATAGATAGATAGATAGATAGATAGATAGATAGATATCTCCTTTTTTTTTATTGATTTGAGAGAGAAAGAGGGAGAGAGAAACATCCATGAGAGAGAACATCGATTGGCTGCCTCCTGCATGCCCTCCACTGGCGATTTGACCCACACCCTTGGGCATGTGCCCTGACCAGGAATCAAACCGGTGACCTCTTGGTGCATGGGTCGATGCTCAACCACTGAGCCACACTGGCCGGGCTTAAGGATATATTTTTATACACATTTGTCGAGATGTTTTATTTTATTTATTTATTTTTTAGTCTCACCTGAGGATATGTTTATTGATTTTAGGGAAAGGAAAGGAGAGAGACAGACAGACATCGATATTGATATCAATGTGAAAGAGAAACTTCAATCAGTTAGTTGCCTCCCATATGCACCCCGACTGTGGATCAAACTCTTAACCTAGGTATGTGTGCCCTGATCTAGAATTGAACTTGCAACCTTTTGGTGTATAGGAACAGTGTTCCAACCAACTGAGCCACCTGGCCAGGGCTTTTTATTTATTAATTAGGGAATATCTGACAGCTTAAAGAAGTAGTGCTTCATAGAAAGTTCTTTGATCCTTTTATATTTCCCCATATTTACCTTAAGCACAGCTCTTATGTGAATGCTACTCACTCTCTCCATTTTAAAGTATGGTTTGGGCCAAATGCTATGCATAAATATTGTCAGTATTACTTTGAATTATGGCACATTTAGGACTTAAAGATCTTCTAATCTCCTGGAGAAGAAAATAGCCATGATAATGCAGCCATGTCCATGTCGCTAGCTCTCTATATACACACACATACATTTTACATGATTCCTTTTTTTAGAGCAGAGGAATGATACTGAATGTTATTGAATGATAGCTTATATATTTTGTTTCTGAGAAGAGAGTGGAAAAGAGTATTCCGGATATTTTTCACTTTAGGCCCTTATGTGATACTTTTCAGAGAAAAATTTTTCAACAAATGTTGAGATTGTATTTTTTTATGTATTTATTGATTTGAGAGAGAGAGAAAGAGAGACATCGATTTGTCGTTCCACTTATTTATGCATTCATTGGTGATTCTTGTATGTGTCCTGACCGGGGATTGAACCTGCAACCTTGGTATATCAGGACGATGCTCTAACCAGCTGAACTACCCAGCCAAGGCTGAGATGATATTTTTAAACATGATTTGACCAAAGAATGAAGGTAAAGATAGTCCTCCCTAAGAAACATTTGAAAATGTGAGGTAGGAAATTCTTTTAAATGTACTACAAGCTATAGGAGTAGAAAGGAGATTGGTATATTATTTGGAATGGAAAAGGTAGGAAGATGACGCACAGAGCCCCACAGGAGGAATGAATTACATACATTGTAAAATTGGTGCCTCGTTCACAGGGCTAAAGAACACTTACAAGAATAAATGATTGCAAAATGTTCTATAAACTTAATTAAAGAAGTGGAAATGGGGTGGAGATGTCCTACATAACTTTACTCATAGAGAACAAAGTGAGTAAAGTCCCTAGGAAGCTACATAGATTGCAAAAAGACTTAAATTTACAAAATAGCTGCCTTTCAACAGAATTTTCTCTCAAACCAAATGGTTGTCTTTCCCACTTCTTTCTAAATTAACTTTCTTCCTATGAAGCTGAGTTGAAAATGTTGTAGATTTTTTTCACCATGCTTTACCAATAGGTTTGCCATTGTCCAGTACCGTGATATAATAGTCTGAATGTTCTCAGTGTTGTTACATAAAGCAAATCAGAATGCTACCATATCAATTCTTGAAATTTAAAATTCGGGAACACTTTTATTTTTTTAAATAGATCTATCTTTAAATGGTTTAAAACCAATTAAGCTTTCAAAGTAACCCATATTTACAAACTGTAAGTTGCGTATACACAGGAAAACGGCCTATTGATAGTTTTTTTTTTTTTTTTTTAGGATATAAGCAGCTTTCTGATTTTGACCAATCATTTATTTCTCCATTGGCTAAAAAAGAAAAAAGAAACTTATGTTTTAATTGAAATGATAAAATATATATGATCACTATAAAATATATTACATAGATGATTTTCTTTCCACTAAATGAATCTTGTTCATTTAGTCCTTTATTTGTATGACTTTCTGGATTTTCCTAGGTATTTTTCAATGAAAAACCGTATATTTTCTTTATCATGTGGATAGCAGTTCTCAACCTGTGGGTTGCGACCCCTTTGGGGGTCGAATGACCCTTTCACAGGGGTTGCCTAAGACTATCGGAAAACAAAATTATAGTTATGAAGTAGCAACGAAGATAATTTTGTGGTTGGGGTCACCACAACATGAGGAACTGTATTAAAGGGTCGTGGCATTAGGAAGGTTGAGAACTACTGCTGATGTAGAAGAATATAGCATATACTTACTATGTTTTATGTGTTCAATAACTTTTGTATTTATCTCTGATTTAATAAAATGTGTTAATTAACCACTGAGGCTATTCCTCAGAAACTACTGTGAGTTCTTAGTATCATAGTTAGGGGATTTGGGTTTGTATTGTGAGTTTACTACAGTGAGGGGCGAGTTGAAGGAGTGTGCAGAAGACAAAGGACTTCTTTGAGTACTTGTAGTCCCTATACTTAGTATCTTTCATTCATTTTCCCTTAAGACACTCATTGCTACATATGACGTCCAGTAAATTGTATAAGGCTGGATGTCCCAACATAATCAGGAAAGTTCAAGAGCAGTGGGAGAAGTGCTTTTGTTTACTCAACAAAGAATTGCAGAGAAGCATTGTGGACCTCTGTAAATCTTTCCCAGTATATCTGAACTCCTTAGCTGAAAAGTACTTACACAAGGAATATATCAAAAGGGCTCTGTGGTAATTGTGATATTCTGACATTTTGACCATGCTAAGGTTAGGTTTCTCCTTAAATACAAGGCTACACTATTTGAGTTATTTTTTGAAGATTGTTTACCCCTGAGCATTTTTAGTTAAATTGTAATATTGGAAAGTAAATAAATTACTCTCTGACTGCATCCATTATATTCAAGAATCTGTCTTTGGTTATTAGGTGGCAATGATTGAGAGTTAAATTGGCATACTAATTGTGCTCCAAAACAGAATCTTTTTTTTTTTTTAATTTATTACTTTGTACTCAGGAATAATGTTTTCATTATCAAATGTTCTTTTTGAGAAAGAAAATAGCACCTTATGTACAGGAACTGTCATAACAGCTGGGCCACAGACAAAACAAGATCATTGTGAACTCACAAAATACCAAACATCATAATCTGGCTAATATCAATGACAGCTGCTTATTTTTACCCCTAGAATTGCCCCCATTTTCTCATTAGAACAAACCTTGGCTTCCTTAGGCCCTCTCCCCCCCAAATCTCAACAAATCTCAAATGCTGTCAAAGATTCTCTCTAATACCCTCTTCCTGAGCTGCCCCACTTCCCCCCGTGGCACTTGTTCTCCTCCCCGGTGACAAGTAACTAACAACTTCTTCCACTGCAGGCGTGTTTCTGGTGGTTGGCTGGAGGGCACTGACACTCCTTAAAGATATCTCTTACAATACAAATTATTTTTCCAACATTTAGGAGTTGAATGCTTTGTTAACTTTATATATATATATATATATATATATATATATATATATTTCTTTTCAATTCAGCATGTTTGTTAGCACTTACATGCCAGATATTTTGATAGTTGTTAAGAATGTAAGGGTAAATAAGGTGCTGTCTCTATCCTCTAGGAAATTTCAAACTGAGCAATTGATATATTTTTATGTAATAACTGTGAGTCTGATTTACTTATAAATTTATTTCCTTTATAGAGTATACTCATTCTTCTCATATTTCAACTGAAGGCAAAAAAGAAAAATGCTTGAGAATTTGGTAATTTTGTATAGGGTACAAAATTCTGGTTACTGTAGCCTACTACCTTAACAAGGGCTACATTTTTGGAATTTGTTCACATAGAGTCTAGTGCCAGAGTACTCATAACATTATAAAATAACCTCTTTCTTAGAATGTGTGTGTGTCAAAGAAAAAGGAGACAAGGAGAGGCAGAGAGAGACATTTATTTTGTAACTCATCATAATGATTTACACAGGACCACCTGGTGGTCAGTTATGATAATATGATGTTATATTATGTGCCTTTCCTAAACGAATTACTGATAGTTTCAACATATCCCCAGGATATATTTCCACAAGTTGTTTTCTGTAAGATGTGAAAGTTTCTCAGTTCGTCTATATCATGAAAATGATATTCATCACACACGAAGCAGAGAATGAATTTTAAAGTGTTTCTTAGTTGCACTCTTCAGCAAATAACCTTGCTAAGTCTTCATATATTCCAAGGCAAATTTAAAATTTTTATTTCCCAACTGCTACGGATAATTCTTTACAAGCTTCATGTAGAAGTATTTGGCTTAAATCTTTTAAGGTTATTAGGATGAGAAAACATTAGGCTGTCAAGAATATGAAAATAACT